TAGGGTCTACCTTACCAGCTTGAGGATCATGTACATATGCTACACAACCAAACACTCTCAGATTCGAGAGGTTGGGTTTAATTCCAAACCATAACTCCGCCGGGGTTTTCTGCACCGCCTTGGTTGGACTCCTGTTTAACAAATAAACTGCACACATTAGTGCCTCGATCCAGAATGTTCTTTTTACAGAACTTGCAAACAACATACAGCGAGCTTTCGCAAACAGGGTTTGGTTCATTCTCTCTGCAACCCCATTATTTTGAGATGTTCTAGGAATGGTGGGTTCACATTCAATACCCTTTTCAACAAAGAATTGCTTCATTTCATTACTGAAGTATTCACCACCATTATCACTCCTGAACTGACAAATTTTAAACCCTGGAAAGCGACTAGTGACCTTTGCCTCAAACAATTTAAAGAAACTATAGACTTCACTCTTGTGTTTCATCCCATATACTACTGTAAAGTGAGTGTAGTCATCAATAAAGGTAACTATATAGCAAGTGCCGTCGTAGGCAGGAGGACTCACAGGCCCACAGACATCACTGTGAATCCGCTCAAGAGGCCTTGAAGTTTCTGGCCTGGTGCCACCGAAAGGAAACCTTCTGAATTTCCCTTTGATACAAGCCTCGCACCAATCAGGCTTACCACTCTCATTTACCTCCATTCCATCAACCAATTTAGACACATCCTTCAAACTACCACTGTTCAAGTGACCAAGTCTCCTATGCCACACATCCTCACTCACACTCATCATGGACATTTCACCTTCATCCTGCCTTACACCAACCTCTAACTCGTACAATGCTTTTACAGTCTTAACCCCTCTGGCTAGGTTAACTCCATCCTTACTGATAGTGCAATGCTGTATCTCAAAAGTTACTGTAAGGCCTTGATTAGTTAATTTGGGAATAGATAAAAGGTTATGTGCAAGATTCTCAACAATCAGCACCTCGATGTTGAGAGGCCTGCACACACCGTCAATGGTTATTTTAGATTTTAATGTCCCTTTAGAATGAGCAAACAAAAACATATTAGACTTTGCAACTTGAATTTTGATAGGATCTACAAGTCTTTTGACGTTACTGACTAGAGTATCTGGGCGCACCATATGGGCTGTCGCTCCAGAGTCAAGGAAAAACTTAACTTTAACAGGGAACATACTGACCGTGTTCTGTACCTGCTCAGGGGAGAGCGCTGCCTCAGAGGCATACTCAATGCCAACATGGGCATATTCTACCTGCTCAGCCGCTCCATTGGCAAGATTGGCAGTCTCCTTGCCACCAGCAGACGATCCTTGTTGATGATAGCCACCGCGGCCTCCACGATGACCACCGCGTCCGGTGCCTCGACTGCGACCACCACGACCACCACGGCCTCGGCCGCCACGATAGGCTCCTCCACCCTCTAGGAAGCAATCTGCGCGGATGTGATTAAGCCTCCCACAGTTGTGACAACCTCTCCTAGCAGGTCTCTCAGGATAGGGCCTGAATCGAGGGCGTCCCCTAGGCTCATGCTGTCCGGAGAAGGCAGCAGCTGATGAGGTAGCTGTAGAT